CAGTTGTTTAACCAGAGATTTATAAATTGTTTAACCAGAAATCAGTTCCAAATGTCAACCATATCATCAGATGGGGTGGATGTTAATGATTTATTTGATATTTCAGATGGTAATTTGGTTATATACCAGTTCTTAGGTGATTGTCACTTGAATAACATGAATGAAACCAAAGATTTAAAATACCCGTTATTTCAAGAGTATTTGAATAAAACCAAATCTTCATTTATGAGTGCATCTGATGGTATTCCAGAAAAAGAGAAATTGGAAGAGAGAAAACTTTTCTATAAGAATACAAAAATTAGGTTCAAAAGCACCAACATTGCAAAAGGATTCCTCATCAACTTTAAAGTACCTGATAAAGAGAAAATCGTGGTTATATTACCAGATCGTTTGCCTTCTCATGTTGTTATAAAAGCCGCTAGGGATGTGGTGGCTGGGAAATCCAAGCAATTTTTTTCATCAAGAAACAAAAAATCAAAAATCAATAATGAATTTATATCAAACTTCCAAGAAAAATTAAAAAAAACTGGATATTTAAAATATAGTGAAGAAGTGATTAACTTCAATCATACAAAAATCAATAAGGTCCTCCAAAGAATATTCGAATTGGATTCTAAATTAAATCTGGTTATAAATGGTGAAGATGATCATAAAGAATCAAATGATTTAGATAAAACACAAGAAAATGGACCACCAGCTGCAAATGAAGAACAAATACAAATACAAGAACAAGAACAAGAACAAGAACAAGAACAAGAACATTCAGTAAATACATCAACCAACAATATTCTCATTCCAGAACCAGCATCATCAGAACAACTTCAAAATGAGGCAAATAACATAATTTTAACACAAAATAATTATGAATCTGAAGAGAATGAAGGCACCCATGATGAGAATAGAAGCTATCTTGAATCTAGGGTTATTCCTGAAAATAAAACAATTGATGAAGCAGGTCATTTTTCCAGAGCAAGTCTGCTTTACAATACAAGAGATCCAGATACTTCTTATATGAATCCAACTGAAAGCTCAAGTCGAAGAATGAAACCTCGTGCACTTTCTTTAAAAAAAAACATTTCAGTTGGTCCAAAAAGAGGCCCAGATCCTTCTTATATGAATCCAACTGAAAGCTCAATTCGAAGAATGAAACCTCGTCATCATACTCGTCATTAACCTTTCAACAACAAGTTATAATTGGTTTCTTGTTATTTTTTTATTAATTATTTTCATTATTACCTTTATTTGTTATTTTCAATTTTTTTTTACCAGTGGATTATCATCAATATTATAAATTGTTAATTAGTTTTATTAATACTTTATTTATATCATTTTTAGTTCAAGATCTGATTTATTGATTCCCAATTTTTATTATACTAAGTTATACATATGTGTGTTTAGAGAAAATTAAGTTTTATTTTATTTAAGTTATTGTTATTAATTAGTTGAATACCTTATTAGTTGTAAAGATCAATTCTATAAAATCTTAATAAAACAAAGAAATATCTAATCAATCTAAAGTTAAATAGAGCTTTAGCTCAAATCATAACTACGCCAGTTTATATATATATATCCAAAAAAATCAAAAACCCTGGTATTACATTTTGTACAACCCATGTAACGGTCTTCTCTAATACATTAGTAAATAGATATAAGACTTTTGTTACTTTTTCTATACAAATAGTTATAAACAATAAATGAGAATTCTATGGATCATTGGTATTAATTTCAAAACGTAGAGATGGAATGTTGAGTTGACAAATGTCATGATTATATGCACCTTTTTGGTTGAGTCAAGAGTTGATCTCTTACCCTTTGATACCAACTAATAGAATTTGATCAAAAATCTAATTAAATGATCATTATCATATTATATAGAGAATGTAACAGCCCTCCCTAGCTTTTTGTATAGTATTCTTAAACCATAGCTAATGAAGGATGTTGTTGGATATATGTGGAGACTAAATGAGGTGCAGTCTTTTTCAGATTGGATAAACGAATCCATTCAATATCTTCATCAAGAAAATTTTACCTGAAGCAAAGATACTTTGGCTTTCTTTTGATGAGCTAAAATTTGATTAATTTTTACCTCTGTGGAACCATCTTTACATTTTTCAAATTTTGTAGCCCAAGATGGTGCTTGAATTGGCAATGTAGAATCCATAAAACGAGCAGGACATAATTGAGAAATATGGAATAGCGGTGATCTCTTCATAGATGATGGTAATTTCAGTCTATAACTCACATCTGAATCTCTAGATAAAATAGTAAATGGACCAAGAAGACGAGAACATAGTTTTGGGGTTAATTGACGAACAGTCACATCAGGAATGTGTATGGGATTTATGATATTTGGTAGACATTGAGATAGGTGACATTGGAATACCACCAATATCCACTTCAAAAGGTGATAATCCATTCATTGATAAATTAGGTTAAGAATCTAGAGCAAATTGTGCTAGCGGAACAAAATCTAGCCAGCCCTTTATCTAATGTAAATTTCCAACAAATGATTCAATCGTTTACTTTTCCCATTCGTTTGTTGATGATGTGATACCCCAAGTTGGATTTCAGTGTCATGATCCTGATAAAATTCTTGAAAAACAATGGATTTCATTTGTAAATATTCATGGATAGCAAAAGGATGTGTCTGGGACAGCTCTCAGAGATAAGAAGCATCCAAGGATGTAGTTGTAGAGATAATTTTAGCTCTAGAAATGAGTTTATCTTGCACAGTGATAATAGCATCATTAACATGACCCAAAAATTGGAAACCCAGATACCATATCTAAATATGTTGCCGTTGGAAAAAATTTATGAGGTTGAATTATTCTCAATGATGTGTTTGAACACAGGGTCCCTGTTATAATCAAAATGGAGAACTGACAATGTCATGAGTAAGAGCATCAACTGATTTAATAACTATATCATGACAAATGGTATTTATTGATTGAAATTTGAGTATCCCGATGAATTGGTAAACGAGAAAGATGATCAAGCGCTAAGTTCCAACTCATTAATTGAAAATCCCCAAATACCCACTTTCAAAATGCATTTGAAAAGCTGATCTTGAGTTTTTCCTTAAAATCTGATTACGTCATCCCTTACCAAATGTTCGCGATCACAATACACAATACACAAAGCCATATATATATACCACAGAATCCAGTATGCCCAGAATCCAGTATGTCCAGAATCCAGTACT